AATGGGATGTTGAGAAAGCTGAAGAACTCAGCAACCAGCTTGCTACTCGAGAGCTTGGTGTAAAAATTGCCAAAGCAATTGCCTGTCACAAGTTTGTAAAAGCCAAAAAGGAGGCTGAAAACTCTCTGGCTGCTCGAAAAAAGAAGAAACTTGCGTGGGGATTTGAAGCAAAGAAGAGATGGGAAACCAAAAGCAACATGGGATATATGTAATTTGTCAGAGTTCTTCAAGACACTTGCAGAAATTTACTGAAAAGATTTTCCTACTTAGGTTAAATATATCAGGAAATTGATAGAAGTAGAAAAAATAAGCATAAAACTATGGAGTTGATTATCAACTCTTTTCAGCCTTTTCATAAGGAGTTCTTTCTATTGAAGTGGATGAAATGAAGCATTTTATTATTTATGTAAGGAATCTAAGCATACATACAAGAAAAGAAATGGGATTTTATTTATTTATTTGTATAGACCTACAGTATAAAATCAATTTTGCTTTTCATGTGTTTGGTATAGCATAGCCTGTGAGGTCCTTGTACTTGCCTATCTGTTCTTGGCATAACTACACTTTTTTCTAGAATTGTGTTTTTAAGATTGGCTTTTGTTTATAATGGATTAATTATAAGTGCAAGTAAGTCTCAATTGATGCTGTCTTTACAAATGACTTTAATTACCCTGATGTCATCAAAACAACTTTTTTATTCTTTATTGCAGGCACTAGAGTTGATATTTCAAAGTCACATATTAAAAGCAATTGATATATTTTGCATACCTTCTGATTATTTTTGCAAACCTTCAATTGGAAGGTGTGCAAATACTTTAGAATGTAGTATTTGGAGGATGGTTTAAATTCAGCACGGCCTAGAAATGTTTTCCTAAATATCTCGTGACCTTGTCATTCTTTAAATTGTGAGATGATTCTTGGAATAGAAAGTGGTAAAATTATATTAAGCAGACAATTATAACTCAAGATAACATAACTTTGAATTGTCTAAAAAATAAATAAATAAATAAATAAATAAAATAAAGGGCTCAAAATAAAAATTTTAAATAATATCTCAGTAGTAAAATGTTCCTGGGTTCAATCCCCTGTTCGCCCCATATATAAGATGTTTTCATTTCTCATTTGCATTTGGTTTATGCCTATGGTAGTTACCATATTCTCCCTTCTACATTAGCGATTCATTTATTTAGTATTGTTGGAACCAAGCCTTTAACACATGGCTCTCAAAATACAAATTATAGCACAAGTTAAATAAATTTGTACGCTTTTCTATTGTTAATCTGTCTCTGGTTATAAGTGCCCCAGCCATGAACCTAGCAATGGGTCAGCAAAGAAATCTCTTAAAAATCTCTTCCCACAGGGCATGGTGACACACACCTGAAATCCCAGCAACTCAGAAGGCTAAGGCAGGAGGATCACAAGTTCAAAGCTAGCTCAGCAACTTAAAGAAGCCCTAAGCAACTTAATAAGACCCTATTTCAAAATAATAAAAAAGGGCTAGAGATGTGGCTCAGTGATTAAGCACCTCTGGGTTCAATCCTAGGACCAAGTGGGGGAAAAAAATCTCTTTTCCCCTACAAAAGCATTCAGTAAACATCAAACTGAATAGAAATGAATTAAATTGATGGTAGTATTTCAAACTAAACTGATTTGTGTATTAGTAGAAAAGCCTGCCATTGAGATGAGCTGGGCACAGTGTCATATGCCTGCACTTGGGAGGCTGAGGCAGGAGGATTGCAAGTTCAAAGTCAGCGTCAGCAATTTAGTGAAGCCCTAAGCAACTTATCAAGACTCTGTCTCAAAATAAAAAATTAAAGATCAGGATGTGGCCCAGGGGTTAAGCACCCCTGGGTTCAATCCCCAGCACAGAAATAAACAAAAAAAATTATTTATGTTTTGGAATAAGTAGTTCTACTTGCCACAACCAAAGCACAGGATATAACTTGACCTACAGGACACATATTCTGCCTATTAGTAGACTGTCCTGACAGACATTTAAGACATTGAGTCTCCTGTAGCCTGGCTATTCAGGAGGATGAAACAGTTGAGAGTTTGAGGTCAGCCTGGGCAACTTATCTAGACCCTGTCACTAAATAAAATTTTACCAGCGGCTCAGGAAGCTGAGACAGGAGAATCGCAAATTCAAAGCCAGCTTTAGCAATAGCGAGGCGCTAAGCAGCTCAGTGAGACCCTGTCTCTAAATAAAATACAAAATAGGACTGGGGATGTGGCTCAATGGCCAAGTGCTCCTGAGTTCAATCCCCAGTACCCCCCAAAAAATTTTGTTTTAAAAGGCTAGGATGTAGCTCAATGATAGCATACCACTGGGTTCAATCCCTGTAATATACACACACACACACACAGAAAGAGAGAGAAACAGCATAATATAGGTACCAAAGTCATGAAGCTGGTTATGTATATATTCTTCTGAATAACTGCAAGAAGGTCTCAGGAGATGACTTAATTAATTCAGAAGAACAAATCGCCAACCACAGAATTACTGCAAGAAGGGAAAAGCCACTATCCTTTTAATATTTTGTCTTGTTTCTTTTGTAGTACTGTAAATAAAACCCAGGGACTTGTACATGCTAAGTATGCACTTTACCACTGAGCTACATCCACAACCCTTTTTACTTTGAGAGAGGATATTGCTAAATTGCCCAGGCTGGCCTTGAAGTTACAATCCTCCTGCCTCAGCTTCCTGAGTAGCTGGGATTAGAGGAGTGCACCACCATGCCCAGCTAATGCAAAGATATTAAACACATCAGTCCCTAAATCAAAACCTATTTATTAGACTAAGTAAATCTCATAGTAATAATTGAGTTGAAGTAAATTTACTAATGCATCCTCAGGAATCAGCTGAGGTTTTGGCATATACTTGTAATTTCAGAAATTAGCCTGGGGCTGGGGGTACAGCTCAATGATAGAGTGCCTGCATGAGGCTCTGGGTTTAATCTTCAATACTAAAAAATAAATAAATAAATAAATAAACACACACACACACACATTTATATAAACAATTGATTCATTACTTTTTCCATTTTAGTTGTTCCAGTAGGTAAAGTGAGTGAATTCATGCTTCCTGATATGAGCCAAAGCATTTTACCATGTCTAGATTTACATTTGAAATCTATGTAAATTTTGCTTTTTCCCCCAACTATGTGCAGTTTTGTTATTATTTATTTATCATTTATTATTACATTAATTGTTACAAGAGTTAATTTATGCCTTTGACTTAGTGATTCCATATCTGAAAAATTTCTAAGGAGGTGGGGACAAAGGATGGGCAATGACATGAACAATTAGCACTATTCCATCATGGAAATTTCGAATGACATAATACCCAATAATAATGTTCTTAAGTAAATTGTGGATGCCTAAATAATTATATATAGCACATGCTTAAATTATGTAGATGTTGACAATTAGAAAAAATCTGATATAATTGTCAGAAAAGAAACAAAATCATTTATACAGTGTGATCTGAGTTATAGGGTCATATATAAGATCTATTAAAAAATCACTAGGGGCTGGGGTTGTGGCTTAGCAGTAGAGGACTCACCTAGCATGTGGGAGGCCCTGGATTCAATCCCCAGCACCACATAAAAATAAGTAGAATAAAGATATTGTGTTCAAATACAATTAAACTAAATATTTTTTTTAAAAAAATCATGTGGTGTTGCACACCCGTAATCCCAGTGGCTCAGGAAGCTGAGGCAGGAGGATCCTGAGTTCAAAGCCAGCCTCAGCAATGGCAAGGCACTAAGCAACTCAGTGAGACCCTGTCTCTAAATAAAATACAAAATAGGGCTGGAGATGTGGCTCAGTGGTTGAATGCCCTGAGTTCAATCCCCAGTATCAAAAAAAAAAAAAAAAACATGCATAAGGCACTGTGTTCAATCCTCAGCACCATACACATATAAACTCCCCATGTCCAAAAAAAATCACTGGTCATGGTGTCACATGCCTGTAATCTCAGCAATTTGCAGGGCCAAGACAGGAGGATTACAAATTCAAGGCCAGCCTCAGCAACTTGGCAAAGCCCTAAGCAACTTAGCAAGACCTTATCTCAAAAAAAAAAATTAAAAGGGCTGGGGATGTGGCTCAGTAATAAAGTGTCCCTGTGTCAATCCCCATTATCCACATACCCCCATCCCCCGCCAAAAAAAATAAGAGCAGAGAGTGTAGCTCACTTGTAGAGTAATTGCCTAGCATTTGCAAGGTTCTGATTTCAATTCCAGCACCCCGCCCACACACACACACAAATTGACAATAATGAACATTGGTAAGAATATGAAAAAATTTAAACCCTCAGTCAGGTGCAGTGGTGTATGCCTATAGTCCCAGCTACTTAGGAGGCTGAGGCAAGAGAATCACAAGTTCAAGGCCAACCTCAGCAATTTAGCAAGACTCTGTTTCAAAATTAAATAAATAAAAAGAACTGGGCATGTAACTCAGTGGTAGAGCACTTGCCTGGCATGTGTAAGGCCCAGGATTCTATCCGAAGCATAGAAGGAAGGAAAAGCAGAGGAAATGTAGATATCAGAATTTTCTACATCATATTTTCTCAAAGTAATTTAAAAATTTTTATTGACTTAAAATAATGGTACATATTTATGGAATACAGTGTTTAAGGCTTATGTCCTTGAGAAAATTTGTTGTGGCTTCTCTAAAATCTAGAAAACATAAATAACAGTGCATATTTCAAGCAACAATGAAATAACATTTCTTGAGTAACACATAATAATCCCTGCCTGTATAAAAGGCCATCAGTAAATTCATTTCCTTCTATCCAGAGTATAATATACTGTCACATGCATAATAATTAGGGTAGAGCAGAAATTGACTAAGATCATTAAGACTCTATTACATGTGTGTGTAATTCTATGCATCATTAATTACAATTGATTGACATTTCAGATCCAGAAGGTCATAATCTAGATAGGTAATTTTATTAGAAAATTTACCCTAAGAATACTTCTATTCCTACTTCTGTAATCCTATCCACACCCACATTCATCAACTACCATGTCTTCATAATGTCGAAGAATGACATTGTCATTATTGTCTTGGTAGAGCATGGAAATGGGAGATAGCTTGGTGGGGATACAGACAGCCTGGGGGATCTCTGGGTCAACTGCATGCATCAGTGCTTGCATGAAAGCATAATTGGAACTATTTAAATAGGTGGTCAGAGCGAGGGGACAATCTCCATGGCAGTAATTTGCCATGAACCCTTTGGGGGCAATGATCCATTTGTGCCAACCTAGGTCCTGGAAGTTGATGAAGAGCTGGTGAGGTCGGCAGAGATTCTTGTGAGAAGCCTTAGGGACAGGAATGGCTGCCCTCCTTTTTCGCGAAGCAGAGTGGCACTGCTCAGGATTGAGGGTTACCACCAGCAGGGAAGCACGAAAGGAAGGTCTCAGTCTGGCACAGGTGGCCTCCAGCTGGAAGTTCACTGCAAAGTCTCTGTCTCCTCTGACCACAATCTCCAAGAATAAGCCCAGGTTCTTCTGGGGTTTGTTATTCCAATCCTTAACCACATCCAGTAGATTGAAGTGAAGGGCACCTTGAGGCCATGGTACAGACTGCAGGGCAAACATTTTACCTGGCTTGGGGATAGATTGCCCCCACATCTGAGGCTCTTGAATGACCCACAGAGCCAACTCCAGTTCTGGTTCCAGGTTATAGTAAGAATTAGGCCCCAAGTCCAGGCCTAGCTGAGCCATTGTTAACTGCTCCTTTTCTTTGATGGCAGACAGGTTAAAGTAGAGGAGCTTCTGTAGGCAAGAGTCATCCTGGGAGAGTTTGTTTGAGTAAATAAAGAAACCTAGATGGGAAAAGCGACATGTGAAAGTCACCACAGTATTTTCTAACCTCATATCCTCTAAAATGCTATAAATGTCACACTGTCCACATATACAGTTTAGGTGCAAGGAACTGTGAGTTCTTTTCAAGCCTTACCATTTGGGAGGATTTGTCCTCACTCCCACTCCTCATTCTTATATTTTCTTGTTTGGTTTTTGCTTTTTTTGTGTGTAGGGGGGCGGTCCTAGGGATTAAACCCAGGGTACTTAACTTCTGAGCCACAACCCCAGCCTTTTTTTTTTTTTTTAAAGAGAGAGAAAGAGAGAATGTTTTAATATTTATTTTTCAATTTTCAGTGGACACAACATCTTTATTTTATTTTTATGTGGTGCTGAGGATCGAACCCAGTGCCCTGCGCATGCCAGGCGAGCGCGTTACCGCTTGAGCCACATCCCCAGCTCCAGCCTTTTTTTATATTTTATTTTGAGACAGGGTCTTGCTAAGTTGTTTAGGGCCTTGTTAAATTGCTGAGGCTGGCTTTGAAATCATGATCCTCATGCCTCAGCCTCCCAAGTGGCTGGGATTTCATTCTTGTCTTTGTATCTCCCAAGGGGTCCTGGAAGGAAATTAGGAGCCCACAAATGGATTGGAAAAAATAATTTTATCTTTGTTTTCATTAAATTTTAAATGGAATTTAGCATTTTATTCCATTATGAATATAGGCAGTAAGTCCCAATAATATTACCAGGGTTGTTGGGGCTCAGAACATGACATTTTGGCATGCTGAGTACTCTAAATTGAAGGTGACTGGAAAGGCCTCAGAAGCAAGGTCTCTCTGCCTTCTGTTCTCCTGAGTTGGACACCACTTTCTCCCCCTAAGCAACTGGGTGGTGGAGCATAGAAGCTTAAATTCCTCTCCCTCAAAGTAAGCCATAAAACCTAGAAGAGCCCCTCTCTTCCTTGTCCTTTGTAAACCCTCATTCCCCAGGGGTCCTGCCCTTCACCCAAGAGAAGAGCTGCACAGAATCCAAGGATCTGAAGAGACAGGACTCACTGGGTTTCAACGCTCACCCCAAGACCATTTATTTGGTCAAAATGTGTTGTCCAATCACATTTCTACATGGCTTTCCACTATTTACCAAAACTAAGCATAAAATGGTTTTCCATGGGTCTTTGCTTTGGTTTTGTTTGTTTCAGTGTTTGAAGGTGGAACCCAGGGCCTTGAGCATGCTAGGGTAAGTGGTCTGGTCAGTGAGCTATGCTCTCAGTAGACAGTTTTCCATGAGTCTTAGGTCTTCATTTCTGAATGCTTCAATGTCACACAAAACTAAATAAATCTGTTACACTTTTCTTGTTAACTTTTTATTGTAGAAATGTCACTGTGGCCCTAACAATGGGTAAGGAAAGTAATCGAACCTTTCTATGATCTATGATACTATCATCAATAAAAACAATAAGTGAGTGGGTGCAGTGACATACCCCTGTAATCCCAGCTACTCCAGATGCCTAGGCAGGAGGATCCCAAGGTCAAGGCCAGCCCCAGCAACTTAGCAAGATACTAAGCACCTTAGCAAGACCCTGTCTCAAAAAATAAAAAGGGATGGGGATGTGGCTTAGTGATTAAGCACCCTTGGTTCAATCCCTGGTAACAAAAAAAAAAAAAAAAAAAAAGGAAGAAAAGAAAACAAGCAAACAAACAAAAGACAGGTATGTATTTATGTATTTATTTATTAATTACTGGGAATTGAACTCAGGGGCACTCAATCACTGAGCCACATCCCCAGCCCTATTTTGTATTTTATTTAGAGACAGGGTCTCATTGAGTTGCTTAGTGCCTCACTGTTGCTGAGGCTGGCTTTGAACTTGCGATGCTCCTGCCTCAGGCTCTCAAGCCACTGGGGTTACAGGCATGTGCCACCATGCCTGGCCAACAGTTGAATATTTTTAAATAGCTAATAGAAAGGATGTTGAATGTTCCCAGTGCAGAGAAATTATGTATGTCTGAGGGTATGAATATGCCAGTTACCCTGATCTGATATTATACATTATATACATGTATTGAGATGTCACACTACTCCATAAATATGTACAATTACTATGTGTCAACTTAAAGACACACACACACACACACAATTTTGCAGTGCTGGGGATCAAACCCAGGGCTTTGCACAAGCACTCTACCACTGGGCTACAGTCTCAGCCCTAAAAAAAAAAAAAAAAAATTAGAAAAGAGAGAGAAAACAGATATTGAATGAGAGAAAGAGAGACAAAGCAAGATAAAACTTGGGCATGGTGGCCAAGTAATCCCAGAGACTGGAGAGGCTGAAGCAGAAGGATTGGAAATTCCAAGCCAGTTTTGGTAACTAAGTGAGACCCTATCTCAAAATAAAAAATAAAAAGGGCTGCAAATGTAACTCCATAGTAGAGCACCCCAGTTTTCAATCCCCAGTAGAAGTCGGGGGGAGCAGGATAAAAGAATAAAACAAAATAAGCAACAAACATAAAAAGCATTTAAAATTACCCAGTTTTTCTAAATAAGGAGGGTGAACAGCTAAGATGTGTATGAATATTTGGTAAGGGTGGAAGAGAAATGATATCTAAATCCTCGTTCTTTTGATGGGAAGTCAATAGTGAAATGTCTAAGCCTGAAAAAAATAAAAAAGTAACAAGAAGAGCAAAAAAGAAAAAAGAAAATTACCCAGTTTGTGGGGCATGGTGGCTCACACACCTGTAATCCTAGAGGCTGGTAGGGTTGGGGGAGCTGAAGCAGGAGGACAACAAGAATGCAAAGCTAGCCTTAGCAAATCAGTGAGGCCCTAACCAACTTAAGGAGAACCTGTCTCAAAAAAAAAAAAAAAAAGGGCTGGGAATGTGACTCAGTAGTTAAGCATCCCTGGGTTCAATCCCTGGTAACTAATAATAATAAATAATAAAATACATTTAAAAAATTATCCAGTTTCCCTTTTTCTTGGTACATGGGATTGAACCCAGGTGTGCTTATCCACTGAGCTATATCCTTAGCCTTTTTATTTTGAGTCAGGATCTTGCTGAGTTGCTTAGGGCCTGGCTAAATTGTTGAGGCTGGCTTTGAACTCACTATCCTCCTGCCTCAGCTCCTGAGCTGCTGGGATTACATGAGTGTACCAACACAACCAGCCACTATATTACATTTCTGAAGCATGAAAGAAAACCCAAAAGCAAAAAAGGAAAAGATGGACAGATTTTTGACAATATGAAGTGAAAATGTTCAAAAGACCATTAATGGGCCTGGGATATAGTCTGTGGTTTGCCTAACATGCACACTCCCAAGGTTCAATCCCCCGCACACACAACACACACACACACACACACACACTTTAAGGAGATGTCCATCTGGTGTAACATGGATGGGTAAGTTGTCACATATTAAAGAATAATGCATTCTATATTTCCATTTATATCAAGTTCAAAAGCTATCAAAACTATCATGTAGCCAGGTACAGTGACACACACGCCTGTATTCCCAGTGCCTAGGGAGGCTGAGGCAGGAGGATTGCGAGTTCAAAGCCAGAATCAGCAAAAGCTAGGTGCTAAGCAACTCAGTGAGACCCTGTCCCTAAATAAAATACAAAATAGGGCTGGGGGTGTGATTCAGTGGTTGAGTGCCCCTGAGTTCAATCTCTGGTACAAAACAAAAAAAAAAAGAAAACTACCATGGACTGTTAGATGGTTAGATGTTACAATACTAAGAATAATGAATCAGAAAAGAGCATGAAGGATCGTCTAGTGTGCTGGTAATGTTTTATTTCTTGATATGGGTACTGTTTGTTCCTTGAAAATTCATTGAGCTGTTCTCTATGATTTATGCATTTTTCTGAATACATATCAGACTTCAGTAAGTTTCTACTATCTTGGTTTCTTTTTCTTTCTTTCTTTCTTTTTGTGGTGCTAGGGATAGAATCCAAAGTTCATGTATGCAAGACAACCTCTACCACTGAGCTACACCCCAAACAAGAAGCTTCTGTTTTTAAAAAGACTTCTATTAAATTGTGGGAAGTAACAATTCTCATACACTTACAGGAGGGTAAGAATTTTGGAGAACACTTGCTATGTATCAAAAGTTTAAATGTACCTACTTCTAAGAATTTATCCTGGGGCTGGGGATGTGGCTCAAGCGGTAGCGCGCTGGCCTGGCATACATGAGGCCCGGGTTCGATCCTCAGCACCACATACAAAGATGTTGTGTCCGCGATAACTAAAAAATAAATATTAAAAATTCTCTCTCTCTCTCTCTCTCTCTCTCTCCCTCCCTCTCTCACTCTCTCTCTTTACAAAAAAAAAAAAAAGAATTTATCCTGAGTTAACAGCAGAAAAAGTGCATACAAAAAAGAAAAGAAAGAAAGAAAAGGTGCATAGGCACAAAAAAAAGTGTATGGCTATCAAAGGACATCGGTTACATACATTATTGTGTATTTATACAATGAAATATCATTTATTTTTTTTTTTTTTAGTACCAGGGATTTAATCCATAGGTGCTTGGCTACTGACCACATCCCCACCCCTTTCTATCTTTATTTTGAGACAGATTCTCCCTAAATTGTTTAGGGCCTTGTTAAATTGTTGAGGCTGGCTTTGAACTTGCGATCCTGCTGTCTCACCCTCTGTAATGGCAGGGATTACAGGTGTGTGCTACCATGTCCAGCTCATGTAACTCTTAAAATGTAAATAAGTTATCCACTTCTTCTCACATATAATAGGTGTTCATGATACTGAAGGAATGTATAGTATAACGCCATTTAAACAAAAATAGTAGATGGGCATGGATTACACACCTGTAATCCCAGCTACTCAAGAGGCTGAGACAGGAAGATTTTGAATTTGAGGACAGCCTGGACAATTAGTGAGACTCTATCTCAAAGTAAACAATTTTTAAAAGGGCTGGAGATGTAGCTCAGTGGTTGGAGCACCCTATGGTGTGTATATACATACATACATTATATATATATATATATATATATATATATATATATATATATATATAAAGTTTATAATCTCTATTTTATTAGCAAAGAAGAAAAATCTGAAAGAATATATAATAACTATTAATGGTGGTTCTCTCTAGCAGAAGAAATAGAAAGGGACAATTATTAGAGTATGTCTTTTTCAGTATTGGGGGTTAAACCCAGAACCTCCTACATGCTAGGCAAGCACTTTACCACTGAGTGTGAGAGTATGTCTTTTTCATTTATCATTTGATAGAAATAGAATCCTCCCATTATCACAGTTATTTCCATGGGCAGGAAGGGTAATATTCTCCAAACCATATTCTCACCTCTGTTCTCTACTCTCTCCATAGAAAACCTTTCAGTGGGTTCTTCACACTCCTCCTACCTCTAAATCCTCCTCCAGGAATTTTCTCTAACCCTCCACCCCTGAGGTGAAGCATCTCACATTATACTGTACCTAGCACCACACATAGAAGTCATCTCTTTGACTTATATAAATTCTTTAAAAGGGCAGACTTTATTGTTAATTGCTATATTCACAAATTCATACACAGTTCCTGGCTCACAGCAGGTATCCAATAAATACTTTCCCAGGCAAATAAATATTCAAATATTCTCTCAGGTTGCAGTAAAACTAACCAAGTACTCAATTCTGCATTTGAACCACCAGAGAGGACACATAAGACATGCAGATTCTCAACCCTTACCTTGGACTTTGAATATGAATTAGGTAGTGAGGGACAGGAATGGACCTGAAAGAATCTAAGTTTAATACACGGCCTGGGTAACTTGGTGGGTGGTCCCATTGGGAAGCAATTGAATAGATCCTTATATAAAGGATATGATAATGGCATATATTATTGCTCTATATTCACAAATCAAGGAAAACTTCCCCCCCCCATCAGTAATGGAGGCATAAGTAGAAGGGAAGTTTATGAACAAAATGAGCTCAACATTTTTTGTCTCCTGCTTAGCATAAGAAAGACCAGGATGTGTGTCTATTGTTTGGCTAAAGAATGGGAGACTGAAGCCAATGCTGTTGTGCATTCCTGTAAGTTCAACAACTTGGCTGAGGTAGGAGTTGGTGGCTGGACTCAGCAATTTAGTGAGGTACTCAGCAACTAGGTGAGGCCCTGTCTCAAAAAAAAAAAAAAAAATAGAATAGGTGACAGCTTTAATTACACCATTATATATTCTCTATACTGAAGCACAAAGCAGTTGATTCAGAAAAAAACTACCTTGAACCAGCAAAGTGGTGCATGCCTATAATTCCAGCACTTCAGTAAACTTAACTAAGGCAAGATGATCACAAATTTAAGTCCAGTCTCAGCAATGTTGGGAGACCCCCAACAATTTAGCGAGACCCTGTCTCAAAAGTAAAAAATAAAAGGGCTAAAGATGTAGTTCAGTGGTGAAATGCTGCTAGGTTCAATCCCCAGTATCAAAATTAGAAGGAAAAAAAGAAAGGAAATTAAAAAAAAAAAAACAAAAAACTCTTTTGAGGGGCCGCGGGTGTATAAGCTCCGTGGCGGAGTGCTTGCTTAGCCCTGGGTTTTCTCTCTGGGACCACCTAAACAAACAAACAAAAATTCAAAAAAACTTTGAATCCTTTGTTCATGTGCTAGCTATCTTCTTGAATAGGTAGCTCACAGGTTACCTACTGTCTGAGCCTTAATTTCCTTAGTTAAAAAGTTGAGGGCTGGGGATCTAGCTCATTTGGCAAAGTGCTTGCCTCACAAGTACCAAGCCCTGGGTTCAATCCCCAGCACCACACACACACACACAAAAACATTTGGGGGTGGGGCTTTGGCTCAGGGGTAGCGCACCTGCCTGGGATATGTGAGGCACTGGATTCGATTCTTAGCACCACGTATAAATAAATAAAATAAAAGATCTATCAACAAATAAAATATATATATTAAAAAAAAAAAGTTGATAATACTTACTTGCCTTCCCCTGAGGATTGCTGCTGGGATTAAATGAGAAAATATGCAAAATAGTAGCACAGGGCCTTCCATAAGCCATCAGCAATTGTAATTTCCCCTTTTCCTTCCTCCTCTTCATACCAGCCACTTCCAGATTTCCCCATGGAAACTCTCCCATTTCTTTACCTTTGTCAGGGAGAAGACGAAGCACATTCCCACGGACACCCAGCTCCTTCATGTAGCATAAATCTTGGGAGACCCCAGTGGTTGTTGCTGTCTCTCGATCTTGGAAAATTTTCTTCAAGATAAAAGGCATGGATTGGAACTTGCGGGGTGAAGGCACCTTGTCTAAGCCCAGAAACTGGAGAAAGTCGGATTCTTGAAATTGAAATGTATGTCCCATAGCTACAATTAACAGGAAGCCAACAGGTAAAAATGGCAGCGAAGGAAGCATGGCCTCGGAGGTGGGACAAAGCAGGCTGGCTGCACGCTGGGAACAGCTGCAGCTCCAGACTGCACAGCCAGCGATTCAAGGGCTGCTAACTTACCTGATGGAAGATAATCAAGTGCGAATTGCTCTCTTCCCAGGTTCTCAAAGGCAATTGGATGTGAAGATACATTTTTTTTCCTCTTCTCTCAATCTGCTCTCCCAAAAAGAAACAAAAAATTACTGATGCGTGGACATAAACTGTACAACCTGAGATTTGTCATAGTAGACAGAGTGAAAAGCAGACATGCATTTATTCATTCAATATACTTTTATTAGGAGCTGGGAATGTGGCTCAGTGGTAGAGTGCTTGCCTAGCATGCAAGAGGCCCTGGGTTTGATCCTCAGCACTGCCAAAACAAACAAAAAAGAGTTATTAAAGCATCTATTATGTGCAAGACACTGAGATAGGTGCTAGCAACATACCAGTAAACAATTTGTTCTTATAATTAATTGTCTAGTTAGACAAATGTACATGTAGATTTCTAACAGACTACATCCACAGTGATGTGGGAAACCAAATCAAGGAAAAAGAAGTATTCCCAAGGAAATTAATCTACACTCCCCATCTGTTTTCAATTTAAAAGGATTAAATTTCATTCATCTAATTTTGTCCTTCTTGATTAAAAGTTAAGAGTCTGTGTTAATTCTGATTTCATTACTTACTAGCTGTATGACATTGGGCATATCCCTTAACCTTCCTTAATTTGTTTCTTCTCAATTAAAAATAATAACTGACTTATTTAATCCCCCACCTTTCTTTTATTAGAGATCTAACCTGAGCCTCCACCAGCTAACTCTACTAGCTAGGCATGTGCTCTACCACTGAGTTCAAAATAAAAAACAAAAAGGGCTGGGGATGTGGATGTGGCTTAGTGGTTAAAGCGCCCCTGTGTTCAATTCCCAGTACCAAAAAAAGAAAAAGTAGGAAACTGGGTAATTTTTAAAATTTATTTTATTTTATTATTATTATTGTTGTTATTATGATTATTTGGTACCAAGGATTGAACCCAGAGGTGCTTAACCACCGAGTCCCATGCTCAGCCCTGTTTATTTTTTTATTTTGAGACAAGGTCTGGCTAAATTGCCCAGGCTGACCCTGCACTTGCAATCAATCCTGCCTCAGTCTCCTGAGTAGCTGGGATTACAGGCATGGACCACTGTGCCTGGCTGCACGAGAATTTGCTCAGCACAATGTCTGCAGCACAGTAAACTCCTACAAAATATTCACAAGCAAGACAGCTTTAAAGCTTTAGTAGGCTTCTCTTTAGTAAGACAATCAGATATTTGCCTGAAGGAACTACATGTGAAAAAGAATGGAAGGGCTGGGGATGTGCTCAGAGGCAGAGTGCTTGCCTTGCTTATTCAAGACTATAAGTTTGAGCTCCAGTATCACCAAAAAAAAAAACAAAAACAAAAACAAAAACACTTGACATTCATAAAAATGGAAGTTATTGAGAAGTCTAAGTATGTAACACCTATGAATTTGCATGTTTTGGTCAAATTACTATAAAATTTTCAACTGCTATTTAAGAATTAGCTTATTTGTATCCAAAATAATTTCCAAGCTTTTTGAGAAGAAATGTTATCATTTTACATTATTTTATACCACCTATTAAAATAACTTGTTCTTCCCAAAGAAAGACAGAATATTCATCTAATATATAATAATTTCTGGTCCCAGGATAAAATCTGAACTCCTGCTGGGCACAGTGGCACATGCCTGTAATCCCAGTGACTCAAGAGACTAAGGCAAGAGGATAGAAAGTTGGAAGACAGTCACAGCAATTTAGTGAGACCCTGTCTCAAAATAAAAAGTAAAAAGGTTTAGGGATGTAGCTCAGTGGCTAAGCCCTCTGGGTTAGATTGTTGATACTGAAAAAACCACCACCACCACCAAAAAAAAAAAAAAGAAAGAAAGAAAGAAAAAAACAAAACCCTAGACTCTAGCTTGGTATTTGGCATTTGAGGACTTTATTGTTCTGATCTCCAGGTCCCTAGCCAGTTTCACTTCCTACTACCACCATGGTCACTGCTGATGTTCTAATGATATCCATCTATTTATTCTCCCGTGAGGTCATTTCATCTCAGAGCCTTTGCACAACCCAAGTTCGAAGGTCTCTTCTACTGCAAATACTTCCTTGACTTGCCAAAACGGATTTAGATACTTCTTCATCCCATTGAACCTTGGGTGATCATCTTCTATGGCACTTATCACAGGTGTCACTGTTTGCTGACCTTCCTCTCAGACAACACTCACATTCATGGGGGTAGGAATGATAGACAGCAAACATTCATTGCAAATCCCACTGGCTGCATTTAACAACCATATCTCTCGCTGTACACACTGACAAAGCTTCAAAAAAATCTTGTGTTTCTTTTAATTTGGGGGGGTTCCCCCAAGCCATTAGGAAGAAATATATAATTGTTTTTATTTAAATTTATTAGACTCAATTTTGTCATGTGGTTCATGTGTATTTAAACTTCATCTGACAATTCCTTTGCTCATTTTTCTCTTTCATTGTTCTATTTAATTTTATTTTTATTTTTTATTTTTTGGTACTGGGGATTGAATCCAGAGACACTTCACCACTGAGCTATATCTCTAATCCTTTTTATTTTTTGTTTTGAGACAGGATCTTGCAAAGTTGCTGAAGTTTGCTAAGTTGCTGAGGTTGGCCTGGAATGAAATCTCCTTCTGCCTCAGGAGAGGGATCACAGGTGTGTGCCACTGTGCCTGGTCATTTTTTGAAATTTAATTTGAGGGACTGGGGATGTAGTTTGGTATTAGAGAACTTGTCTAGCATGTGCCCTGGGTTTGATCCTTCACACTGAAAAAGAAAGAGGAGGAGGAGGAGGAGGAGAGGAAGTAGAAGAGGAAGGGGAGGAGGAGGATAAAAGGAAGTAGAAGAGGAAGGGGAAGAGGAAGAAGAAGAAATTGAATTGCTAATTATTTTTCAATTGGAGATCTTCCTGCCTCAGTCTCCCAAGTAGCTGAGATTATAGGTGTGTACCACCATATCCTGCTACTTCCTTATACTTTGTATACTTACTTGTCTTTCAGGATAGTGCCTCCTCTGGATATGCTGCCTAAGTAGCTGGCCACTCATTTTCAAGCTCCTCTCCTTTTTTCTTTCTTTTTTCCTTGTGATACTGGGGTTCAAACCTTAGGGTGCTCTGCCACTGAGTTATATCCTCAGCCCATTTTATTTTTTATTTTGAGACGGGATCTAGCTAAATTGCTGAGGGTCTAGCTAAATTGCTGCATCTGGCCTTGATCTTGCCATCTTCCTGCCTCAGCTTCCTGAGAGCATGGAAATACATGTGTGTGCCACTATGCCTGGCTGTAAAAGTTTATTACGGTCCAAAATGGAGTTTCTGACCTTCACCACCAATCCTACAGCATGGCATGTCATGGCACCTCCACAGTCATTACTTCCTTCAGGTTTGTATGTCTCAGCTAATGCTAACCCTGTCCTTCCTATTGTTCAGCACAAAGCTTTGGATTCCTTTTTTTTTTTTTCTTTGTACCAGGGATTGAACTCAAGGGCACTCAACCACTGAGCCACATTCCCAGCCCAAATTTTGTATTTTATTAGAGTCAGGGTCTCACTGAATTGCTTAGTGCCTCACCGTTGCTGAGACTGGCTTTGAACTTGCCATCCTCCTGTCTCAACCTTCTGAGCTGCTGGGATTACGAGCATGCACCGCTATGTCCAGCTAGATTGATTCCTAATTCCTTTCTTTCTCTTCTCCTACATATTCAATTCGTTAGATAATTCTGGCTTAGCTCTATCTTTAAGATATTTTCAAATTTTGATCATTTATCATCTTCCCTGTTATAACCCTAATCTAAAATACTGATTTTTTCATCTGAGTTATGCCATAACTTCCAAACCAGTCTCTGATTCTAACCTTCCAATTCCCAATTCCTACCAGTCTGAGAATCAATCTCTCTCTCTCTCTCTCTCTCTCTCTCTCTCTCTCTCTCTCTCTCTCTCTCTCTCTCTCTCTCCTATTACTGGGAATGGAACCCAGGAACTTGCACCTGCTAGGCATGCACTCTGCAACTGAATTAACTCCCCCGCCCTGTTTTTAATTTTTTTTTAATTCCCTGCCCTTTTTAAAACTTCTACTTTGAGACAGTCAAATTCTCTAGCCAAATTCTTTACAAAGGTCAGTTAACTCTTTTGCTCATTTGCTCAAAACCCTCCAGTGAACTCTTCATTCCACTCAGAGTAAGTCAGTGTCTGAAAAAAACCTAACCCAGTTACCTCATTTACTAATTTTGTCCCTTGAACATTGTGCTCCCGCCACACTTCTTTTTCCACTACTACAATTCTTTGTATTCTTGCTCTTGCCTCTGCCAGGAAGACTCTCCAAAGATATTACCACATCTGACCACCCCCACCCCACGCACACCTCTTCCTGTGGTTTTGTGTGCTGTGGATGCCTTCTGAGTTTTTACACATTCTTTCCCCTCTCCTTAAAGTTTATCTTTGCCATTCTATTATAAGTTCCAACTTGATCCCTCCCCCACAACTTTTAATCTTCTTTACCCCATTGCATTTAGTTCTACAACATGCTTTATTTTGTAGCATTATAGTCTAGCATACTAATAATTTTATTCATGTATTCAACAAATACTTGTGCTAGAGAGTGTCATTAGACAAGGACTCAAGTAGATCCTTCCAAGAAGGCAATGGAACTTCGACTCAGCCTAGTCAGGTTCTTGACTTAAGCAGCTGAAAAGAATTGCAGGATGTGTCAAAAACAAGACACAACTGATCATAATGTGCATGCTTGTGATCCCAGATACTCATGAGGCGGAGGCAGGAGGATCACAAGTTTAAGGATAGCCTCAGCAACTCAGTGAGGCCCTAAGCAACTTAGCGAGACTCTGTTTTAAAATAAAAATAAATAAAAAGGGCTGGGGACAAAATAAATAAAAAGGGCTCAGTGGTTAAGCGCTAGGTTCAATCCTCAGTACTGGGGTTGGGGGTTGGGGGTTGGGGTAGAAAGAAAGAAATATGCAGATTGTCAAGCAAGCTTTTTTGAAAATCAAATTCCATATCCATCATTTGAAATTTCTGGTTCACAATGTTTCTTTTTGTTTAAGCACTCCAGTCATAAATCAGTTATGGGCACATCCTGTAAGTCTTTGAATCCTGGTGACACTTAATTGGTTATGTTTTTGCTCCAGTTGATCAGGTACAAGCATTCACTGTACCTGAGGTTTTGCTCATCTAACTAAAGAGACAAGCATGGCTGCTCATGCTTTCCATCTACTTAGAGTCTCTTTCTCTCCCTGAGAGCCCATCTATCTCTCTATTATTTTAAACATTTGGGACATATCATGAACTAGATATGAGTCCCTGACTTGAGACCATCATGTTGTAATGGTGTAGGACAGTTAGTACACAATAAATTTATCAATTAAATATTATTGTAACTGAGAAAAATTCCAATTCTGCTGCCACCCAACAAAGTCAATTATTCAAGAGACAGAGTGATGGGAAAACAAAGAGCTTTATTACTAAAAAACTAGCTTGGAAGACAGTGGGTCAAACATCTTTACTGAGCATTTCAGGGACTCATGTATGCCAAAGGCTTTATAGAGAGGCGAGGTCAGGTGGCACATAGGACAAGAAATAACCAATGACTGGAGACCTAGGTGCTGTTCTAGTGGCCCAAATGGGGATGCCCTCCCAGTCACTCCCACCTTGGTGTCTTCAATTTTGAAAAGAGAGAGATTAGGCAAATCTAAGTCAAATCAACCCTGTATTATGGTTCCAGACAAAACATTTCTCAAATGATCAACATGTCTACATGCACAGATGAACAGAAATTTCACTCAAGTGTTAAGTCAGCAAAGGTAACAGACACAACATAAAGGCAGAGATGCCAAGTTTTTTATCCTGTTTCATCACCCACTTGATATCTTCCAGCCCAAATGAAGAGTTGGTGCTCTCAGCAAAAGCAAATCTTAAGCTTTTTTTTTCTCGAGGTAACCATTAATATCACAATCTACAGATCAGAGGTGTAATCTGTAGCAAAGCTAGTGGGAAACTAATAATGCATTGCCCAGCTATATGACCTCCAAAATTGGTGCCCCCTCCCCCACTGGGGTTGAAACTAGGGACACTACTTTATCACTGAGCTACATACCCAGCCCTTTATTTTCTTTTATTTGTTTGTTTTTGACATACTGGGAATTGAACCCAGGGACACTCTGCCACTGAGCTACATCCCCAGCCCTTCCATTTTATTTTTTATTTTGAGACAGGGTCTTACTAAGTTGCTGAGGCTGGTCTCAAACTTGAGATCCTCCTACCTCAACTTCCTGAGTAGCTGGGATTACAGGTGTGCACCACTGTGCCCAAGTCAAATTTAGCAATTTCTCTCTCTCTCTCTCTCTCTCTCTCTCTCTCTCTCTCTCTCTCTCTCTCATCAGGGATTTAACCCAGGAGTGCTTACCCACTGAGCCACATCCCCAGTCCTTTTTATTTTTTTATTTTGAGACAGGGTCTTGCTAAGTTGCTTACAGCCTCGCTATTCTCTTGTCTCAGCCTTCCAAGTCACTGGTATCACAGGGAAGCAGGAAGTTGAAACTCCAAATCTTGGTTCTTATGTTTCAATGAAAGAAAATTTAGGGGTCTCCATGGAGGAGCATCCTCCCACAGTCTCTGCTGAAGATGGGCTACACATTCTAGTTCTCAGGCCCTGCCACCTGTGACTGCACACGCAGGGGTCATGACAGAGGTCACTACTGAGGTCTTCACCAGCCCACAGGTAAAGCATGGCAGCCATCCCTTCCAGCAGTTCACTGGAAGCCACTCACAACTACTGCTGGTGCTGCCTGGGCTCCACATCCAGCAACAGCTCCTGTGGAAGTGCAAAGTACCCTGGGGAGGCCATCCGCCACCACACTGGTCTCCCCAAGGCTACCCCAGGTCACTGGTGGCCCAGCTTCTTCTTTAAAAAGTCCACTCTTCCAATCATGGCCACTGTGTTGTAGTCCCAGAGCACTCAGAATGCACCCAGGTCTCCACCAGCAATGGTCACCAGTGACCTAGCTGTAGAAACCATGAGGAAGAAGCCTGTCAGTCAGCAGAGCCAGACCAGCACTGGGCCTCAGTCCACCTGGTGGCCCACTGATAGGAGCTTCCAAGGTGCTAGGTTGAATTCTACCCATGCTAAGGGGTAGGCTAGGCAGGCTGCAGCAAGCAAAGACCACCTTGGTTCTTCCACAGGAGATGACAGGCACCAGGCAAGAGACCCCCTCTCCAAGCCACAGTGGGCTTTCTTGACTCCCATAACTGTGCCTTGCTCCAAGCAAAAATAAACTCCAAACAGCGAGGAAAAAAAAAAAACAACACGAAATTTAAAGTCCGACACAAAAAGCCATGCAAGAGAACTTTATTATAAATGAAAGTGAAGTGAGGTGAAAGTATAGTAAAAGCAAAGTGAAGCTTAAGCAGAGAGCACTCTCCAGAAAGTGTGCCGTCTCTGGGTGAGCAGAGAGTAACACAGGAGACAAGGCTGACTCAAAATTTATTACTGTTTGATGTTTACCAGGAGAACTGGGGACCACCTTCAACTCCTCCTTCATGTGTGGGTGGTAGAATTTTTTACTTTAGTTGGTCCTCCTCCAGAACTGTCATGGTGGCCATCCTGTTTGGAGGGACTCCATTTACAAGTCAATCCCATGTTAATATGGGCACTGAGGTCTGTTGGGAAAAGTATAAACGGCAGCCATACCCCAGAGAAAAACCCCAACATGGCGCCTAAGGACTTCTTCCTACCTTCTTCTTTTCTGCAGTGGCGCGAAAAGTTCCCGCCTGTGTGAACTCTCCCCCCGGCGCCAATTTCAAATCTCGCTGGCGGGGAACCTTAGCCCCAAAGAGAACTAATTCCTGGGCTCCGGAGCTGATATCTGAAAGAACTTGCCAATAAACGGGTTGCCTGCCATTTATCTAAGCCCTACCATCTCCCCCTTAGTTCTATATAAGCACACAGCTTTTTGCAATAAAATTGGAATTCTCCCGGCGAAGTGTCTTTGCGTGGGGAATTCTTTCAAGGTCAATATCTGCTCAGAAGTCACCTTAATGGGCCTGCAGTATTAAAGGAATCTTCCTTCCCAGACAAATAGAGACCCTTCTAGCCATCATTCCTAGCTTTGCATCAACCTCAGTGAACCCTGTCACATTTAGTTCCATTAATCCTTTTCTTTTGATGTATTTTCCCACTAACTCATTTGTTTTTATGTTTTTTCTACAAATTAACTACCAACTTTTGCTTTCTCATCTACTTCGAAAGTAGTTTAAAGAAGACTCTAAAGTAATTTAAAGGGGCTGGGGATGTGGCTCAAGCGGTAGCACGCTCACCTGGCATGGGTGCAGCCCAGGTTCGATCCTCAGCACCACATACAAAGAAAGATGTTGTGTCTGCCGAAAACTAAAATGTAAATAAAATATTTAAATAAATAAATAAAGTAATTTAAAGAACATTTGTGATCTTGCCATGCATTTCATTGCTTGTTGCTAGATACTACCTAAGACTGGGATTACAGGAGTACACTACCATGCCTGGAAAAATTAGTGATTTCTACAGTCAACTAAAAGTAAGTAAAGCTAGAGGGTTTATTTAGGTTTCCCCCTCAGTTACATCATTTACTCGACAAATAAATGGATTAATTAATATTTGGATACTTGTTCAAGAACTTCTGAAGAATATTTTTTTTCTTTTTGGCACTGAGAATTGAACCCAGGGAGCTTTACCACTGAGCTACATCCATAGCTTTTTGTTTTTTGAGACAGGGTTCTGCTAAGTGGCTCAGGGCTTCTATAAATTGCTGAGGCTTGCCTCAAACTTTAAATTCTCTTACCTCAGATTCTCAAGTAGCTGGGATTACAGGCATGTGCCACCAAACCCAGCCCAATAATCACTAATATAGAATATTGGCATTATCAGGTTTTACTTTTTATAATGGAGTTTTAAATTTGGGACTAGTTAATATTATCAAGGAAATCACTATCTTTACTTTATAAATTCACATATTCAGAAGACTTTCATAATCAAGATAGCCTATCTCAAAGTATTAGGCATTTGTGAAAACTAATCCAGGAATAAAAACAAATATAATCATACAGCAATTGTTAATATTCCATTTAAAAAATATTTGGGCTAGGGATATAGCTTAACTCAGTGTCAGAGCTCTTGCCTAGCAGTGCAAAGCCCTCGATTCAATTCCTAGTACCACATAAAAACGAAAACAAAAACTACCCCCCCCAAAAAAAAGAAAGCAAAAAGAAAAAAATTAACACATTGTTAAGTAACTTTGTAAATTAAAATTAGGTAAGCTATTTTTATAGATAGGGCTAGGAATGTAGCTCAGTGGTAGGGTACTTGCCTAGCATATGTAAGGTCTGAGGTTTAATCCCCAGTACACCTAAAAACATAAAACACATCAGGTAAAAGATGAAATAGTATTACAATATAAATTTTTGGGGGGTGGTGAGTACCAGGGATTGAACTCAGGGGCACTGGACCACTGAGCCACATCCTCAGCACTAGTTTGTATTTTATTTAGAGACAAGGTCTCACTGAGTTGCTTAGTGCCTTGCCTTTGCTGACTCTGGCTTTTAACTTGGGATCCTCCTGCCTCAGCCTCTGGAGCCACTGTGCCTGGCTACATTATAAAATTTTACATGTAATGTTTTCTAAGTTTCGATTTAGCAGTAGTTTCTTGAATGTCAACTTAAAATTAATAAATGTCTCTGAATAACTTTTCTTCTGGATGTTAGATTTGTGACTCCGATTTCTTCAAAGTTGAAGATAATAAAATATTAGAGCTTAAGTGTCTTAGCTATCCATTTTATCTAAAATATTATGCTTAATGTCTTAGGAGCAAGGAAAACAAAAAGTTGTTCTTTTTTCCTTAAATACACAGTTGATAAGGATTGGCAGGTCATTTCTATTGCCTTGGATAAGAATGTTTTATAAGTCTTGCACTCTTGGATAAGCAATTCTGAAAGTTATTCTCATTTAAGAGGGTCCAAAGAGAATAAAAAAGATGTTGCTCATTACATTTACTCTTAGTGTTACTGTTTGTCCTCTTTTTTGTGACTGAGGAACTCCAAGTTTATCTTTGCTATTTCAAAACTAGTGACTGACAGCTGGGTGCCCACTTTCAGTCCCAGCTACTCCCAGAGACTAATGTGGGAGAATCACTTTAGCCCAGAAGTTTGAGACCAGCCTAAGCAACATAGCAAGACCCTCTCTCAAAAAGGAAGAAAAAAGAAAGAAAGCAAAAGAAAACTAGTGACAGAATTTACAAGTGTTAAGGGAAAGGAAGAAACTAGCAAAAAAAAAAAATCTTGAAAAAAAAAAAACCTATTCCTTCTGAATATTGTAACTCGGTTAGAGATAACATGAAATATTCAAGTCCAAGGGATTTTATTAACTAATTAACTTATCAGGTATTTAGGATACCTCATCTTTGCTCTAGGCAAGCCTTTAAACTCGTGTTTTTCAAACTTTGTTGCAATTCATTAATGAAGAATAAAATAAACTTTGTGGATCCCAATCAGAATTAAGAAGAAACTAGAGGCTGGGGATATAGCTCAGTTGGTAGAGTGCTTGCCTTACATGCAAAAGGCTCTTAGTTCTAATCCTCAGAAACACACACACACACACACACCAAACAAACAAACAAAAAAACCCACTACAATAGTATAGGAAATCCCTGAAACTTTTCTTTTTGTTTTTGAGAGACCAGGGATGCCTTCTAACACTAAGGTACATCCCCAGCCCTCCCTCAAATGTCTTAGCTAATAATTATCTCTACCTGTTACTGGATATATATTTTGTAGTATATGGCAAAACTATGAATGCCACTGTACTTACTAGTGGCATTTTTTTCTAAACTACTTCTTTTTCTTTCTTCCTTCTTCCTTCCTTCCTTCCTTTCTCTCTCTCTCTCTCTCTCTCTCTCTCTCTCTCTCTCTCTCTCTCTTTCTTTTTTCTTCTGGGGATTGAACTCAGGGTTAATCTACCATTGAGTTACATCCCCAGCCCTTTTTATTTTTTATTTTGAGACAGTCTCATTAAGTTACATAGGCTGGCTTTGAACTTGCAATCCACCTGCCTTAGTCTTTTGAATAGCTAGGATTATAGGTGTGTGCCACCAAGCCTTCCTCTCCCTCTGATTTTGTTGTCATGTGGTCTTTTCTCTATCTGATCCCTCTTGCCTTCCTTTAGAATCTTGTTCTTATCTAGGTGCCTAGATTCATTTAGGTAATCCAGAATAATCTCCCAAAATTCTTTTTTTTTCTTTTTTTCCCAGTACTGCAGATTGAACCCAGAGGCATTTTACCACTGAGCCACATCCCAAACCTTTTATTTTATGTTGAGGCAGGGTCTCACTAAATTGCTTTAGGCCTTGCTAAATTACTGAGGCTGGCCTTAAGCTTGTGATCTTCCTGCCTCAGCCTCCTGAGTTGCTGAGATTACAGCTGTGTGCCACTGTGCCTGGCTCTATTTTACTTTTGAGACAGTGTAACAGTGGCCTACTTGTGCTTTGAATATAACCCTTGCCGCTCTACCACTGCAGCTTATTTTTTTTTTTTAAACTGGTGACCTTGGATTCCTGCGGCTGCTTTTTTTTTTTTTTAAAGAGAGAGAGAGAGAATTTTAATATTTATTTATTTTTTTAGTTTTCGGCAGACACAACATCTTTGTTTGTATGTGGTGCTGAGGATCCAACCCGGGCCGCATGTATGCCAGGGGAGCACGCTACTGCTTGAGCCATATCCCCAGCCCACTGCAGTTTATTTTTAAATTGGGCATGTTTCCTTCTCTCCTCCTGCTCCTTCCTAATCTCTCCCCTCCCTAATCTCGGGAAACAGTATTGCCTTTCTTCTCCATCCTAGGCAGTTATCACTCCCTGCATACATACCCACAATAGGAATGAAGTAATCCAAACTTTGGGGATGAAACCAGAAGATCTCAGAAATG